AGAGAGAGAGAGAGAGAGAGAGAGAGAGAGAGAGAGAGAGAGCGCTCTGAGGAGACTCTCAAGTGGTCCCCATGCCAAATCAACGGATTCCAAATCTCTGGAGGCCCTGACCATCTGAATAATTCTTGGCAGTTCTCCCATCCTGCCAGGGCTAGGAACTGCAGGTGTACCCTGTGACTCTAACCCTGAGAGAGGGAAGAACGGCTGCCTCAGGGGAGGCCTTTTCTCTTTGGGGGAGCTGGTTCATAGTGATATGTTTTCTGGGCTCATGGGCTCTGATACTAACCCTAGTCTCAACAAAGTAGATTGAATCCATATGAGAAGTGACACCTTCTCCAGGATCACCAAAGCCCCCTCATTGCTAGAACTTATATGTAACCCTTCTTTGCCTCCTTAAAAAATATAAATATAAAAAATTAAAATTATACCAAGTCAAAAAGTATAGGCACCCTTACATTTTTTTTTTGTAGATATCAGATTGCCTGGTGATGCTATACCATTTAATAGTCCTAGAAAAACTAGTATGTGTGTTTCCTACATCTTGGTCAGCATTAATTATTATCACTTTATTTTATTGGCAATCTGATGTGTAGAAAGTAGAAAGTGATACATACCTGTTATTTAGCATTTATTGCATTATTATGGAAGTTGAATATCATTTTTACAGGATTCTTAGTAGAGACATTAGTTGGGCTAGGGGATAAATTTATATAACAAACTATTATGAAGAAAGAAAAACTCACCTTGAGGCATTAAGTGGTGTTCCAGTTTAAACTGATTTAAACATTGATTCCATGTTTGTTTCCCCTTCCCTTAACCACACAGTTTCCTGATATCCTTCAACAAACGGCTTCCAAGATGGTTGGGAGGCTGCCTCCTAAAGAATTCCTCTGGACTGTGTTTGAATCTGTGCGGAACAGCAGCAGCGAGAACCCCAATTTTGACCCCACCTCTGGTGAGTGTTTCAGGGGTGCTTGATCCTGTGTCCAGGGTAGCAGTGTTTGGGTTGAGACTGTGGCATAAAGAGCCTCCTTCTCTAGGGAACTGTCTGAAGTATTTGCGAAGTAATAGAATGGCAGTCATGTACCAGGCCTGGAGGTTTGATGAGTGAATATGTGTGACAAGCGTTTCAACAGGATTGGCTTACCTTAAAAGGATCAATGTGGCTTAGCCACTAAATAGTGCAGTTAAGGGACAGACTGGCCGGTCTGAATCCCGAGTCTCTACTTATTGACTGTGACTTTCTGTAAGCTCTTTTTGTTTGTTTTTTTGAGACAGGGTCTCACTATTTAGCCCTGGATAGTCTGGAACTCACTATGCTGACCAGGCTGGCCTTGAACTAAGTGATTTTCCTACCTCAGCCTTCCAAGGGCTGGAATTAAAGACATGTGCCACCACACCTGGTGACTTTCAATAAGCTGTTTAGACTCTGTGCTCAGGTTTTTGTTTTTAAAATAGAGCTTTACGCTGTATCCCAGTGGCCTGTAACTCACTATGTAGTACAGACCAGCCTTGAACTCTTCATGATTTTCCAGTCTCAGACTCTTCAGTGATGAGATTATAGACATGAGCTACCAGGCCTAGCTGTGCCTTGGGCTTCATCCTCTGTCAAGGAGGACAATGAAAGCTCTGCACTCCAGTGGGTTATTGTGAGGATTGATGTGTTTCTCGACACATAGGGGATTCTCAAAAAGTACTTCCTCTTCCTCTTCCTCCTCCTTCTCCTCCTCCTCCTTCCCCTCCTCCCCCTCCTCCTCATCATCTTCCTCTTTCTCCTCCTCCTTCTCCTCCTTGTCCTCCTCCTCCTCCTCCTCCTCCTCTTCTTCCTCCTCCTTTTCCTCCTCTTCCTTCTGCTTTTGAGACAAGGTCTAGCTATGTAATCCATGCTGGGCTTGAACTTTCAATCGTCCTGTTTCAGCCTCCTTAGTGCTGGGATTACAGGCATGTGTTCCCATGCTTGGTAGCATTTTTGTAATTCATACTGTGTGCCTGGTAAATGGGGACTTGTATTGGGGATGAGGAGACACAAGTTAATCAGAACAACAATGATTTAACAGTGACGGTTGTTGGTGCTTATTTGTGTTTATTCATCCAGTCAATACTGGGCACTGCTGGATGCTGTGACTGAAAGGGAAGGAATCCTTCCCACTCAGAGCGTATTTTCAAATAGGGCACAGCCTGACATTGAGGTCCATGCATAGGGAAAATATAGTACATTGTGGTAAGTACCAAGAAGGGAAGCGGGTAGGGGAAGTCATCTCAGAGTGTTGGGTGGGGACAGTGATGCAAAAGGTGATTCACCCCTGAAGGTCTCAGGGAGAAGGTGACATTTGAATGAAGACACAAGGGGGTATGTGAGTGGACATTTGGAATGACAGTCTTTCTTCCAAGCAGAGGGTATATAAAGTAGTGACAGAGGTGAGGGAAGTGACAAACTGGAGTGGCTGGAGGGAAACAAGAGACCAGGCTGGTCATACAGGGCCCGAGAAAGGAAACCTTAGGGACTTTGGACATCATGGGGCATGGAGCAAAGAAGAGGCACATGCTGCTCTGTGTCTGCCGCGGAGGACTGTCCCTCTGGATGTACCATCTAGACCTCATCTGGTTGGTGTTGACTGTTGACTTTGTCTCACAGAAGGAGAGGGTAAGAAGGGTCCCTGTATCCTCAGCTGAGATTCCAGCTGCTCCCTCCTATATGTAATATTGTCCTAATTACATGTGGCCTTGTGGTCTCAGGAGGTGCTAGAATACATAGACCGTGGAGATTAACTGAAGGGGGCCTCCACCTATGCAGCTGTTCTAGTTTGCTTCCAATTGCAGTGACAAAATACTCTGACCAATACCAACTTGGGGAGGAAAGGCTTTAATTAGGTTACATCTCCTGGGTCACAGTTATCATTGAGAGAGCCCAAGGTAGGAACTCAGGGCAGGAACCTGGAGGCAGGAGCTGAAGCACAGGTCATGGAAGAACGCTGCTCACTGACTTACTTATTCCCCTGGCTGGTACTCAACCTGCTTTCTTATACAATACAGGGCCACATGTCCAGGGGTGGTACCACCCACAGTAGGCTGGGCCCTCCCACATCACTCAATAATTAAGAAAATGCCCCTACAGACATGGCCATAGGCCAGCAATTCCCCAGTTGAGGCTCCCTCAACCCAGGTGTGTCAAGTTGACAGCTAAAGCTATCCAGCATTGCAGACATGGGGAAGTCATTATTTACACTGGGGCGAAACTTTCAGGGATGTGGCTTCTTTGGGGTTAACTATACTCCTACAAGGAATCCCTCCCCTGTGCTCTGTCAGTAAGCCCAATAAACTCCTTGCTTTCCGAAGTTGGACTTTGGTGGAAAGGCACTTTTGTTTGTCACTGGAACCATATAAGGAGGAGGTAGACATTTGTTTCTCTGGGGAAAGAGTCCCTGCAGCACAATCTCTCTTGTTGAACCTATAGCTCACCATTTTGGCAAAACTAGTTGGTCAGCAAGGCCCAGGGAGTTGCTTGTCTCTACTTTCTTAATGCTAGGGTTACAAGCATGCACCACCGTGCCCAGCTTTTTATATGGGTGCAGGGGTTCTGAACTCAGGCCTCCATGCTTTTATGGCAAGCACTTTACTGACTGAGCCATCTTCTCAGCCCTCTGCTGTTTTCTTGATGGGAGAAATTGGAGTTTAGCTAGATTAAGGGACTTGGTCAAAGGCATGTAGCTAAAAATGGCAGCTCCTGGACTTGTACCCAAAGCTAGTGATAGTCACCCCTAGCTTCTAGCATTCTTTCAGCTCAATATTCCACATGCCCACACAGCACTCTTTGTGTGTTTCCCAAAGCAAGACTTTCCAAGCTCAGGGATGTCAAGGGTAGCTGTCATCAGCACATGGAACTTTTCTTTAGCTAGTTCTAGGCATTTTCTGCCGTGTTTTTAGTGATCAATGAATTAGCAGAATTGCGTCTTGGTTTCTTTTCATTTAATTCATGTGTATGTGTGTTCTTTCATTCTAAATATTTTTTGAACACCTACTACGTGCCAGGATCTAAGCCCTGAACATACCATAGTGATACTATCATGTCACTGCTGTATGATTCAGTCCTTCCATTCATCTCTCATTCTGCACTGTCACTGATCCTGGGCAGGGTCAGGATGCATGGTCTTTAGACCTCTTCAAATAGGATGCCATAAAGACGTTTAGGGTTACAGTTGGCATCCTAGATCTGGCCCACTTTTGCCTCTTGGTTTGAGTTCTGTGAATTCCCATTGAAGAGGTAATGAGAAAGGAAGGAGTGGCTACAGAGGTTGGGAAAAGCCCTGCCTTCAGAAGGTGCCAGTCAGTCAGTCAGTATCAGCAGTGGTCAGTCACTAAGACACACACACAAAAAATCCAGGATTGTTCTTAAGGATCTTTGAGTTTTCTCACAGGCTGGGCATACTGGATTCAGCAAAGCATATCACTTGTGTATTGGCAAATAAGTGCTTTGCCCATTGTATTAGTTACTTTTTTCATTGCTGAGACAAAATACCTGACAGAAACAGCTGAAGGAAGGGAAGGATTTATTCTGGCTTATAGTTTGAGGAGCTTAAGGCAGTGGTCACTTTCTATCTGCGGTCAGGCAGCAGAGTACTGAATATTAGTGCTCAGTTCTCCGTTCTTTTTATTCAGTCCAGGACTGCTGTCCATGGAACGGTACCACCATTTAGGCTGGGTCTTCTCAGCTCAGTTAATCCACTTAAGATACTCTCTCACAGACATGCCCAGAGACTTGTTTGCTAGGTGAGTCTAGATCCTGTCAAATCAACAATCAACTTATTCAAAGACTGGAATGGATTTTTTTTTTCTGTTGTCAAAGAATACGCAGCAGACTCAGGTTTCCCCTCTCCTAGGGTGGGGTGGACACCTTCCTCCATAATTTTTTTGGTATATTTTTATTGAGTTTTTACACATTTCATATACAACATCTTAATCATCTTTATACCCCCATCCCTATCAGCACCCTCCCATAGCCCCCCTCCCCATTGGATTTCATGCATTCTGTCATTTATGTTAAGGCCTATTGAGTCAAGTTAGTGTCCTCAGACGTTGGTCAGTGCAAGTTCATTTACTGGGATCTAGTCAGCCTATCTAGAATCACTCCCTTAAAAGAAGATCATCAGCTCTTCCTCACCCAGCAGTTAATCATCTGTCCAATAATTATAATTTTTATGGAAAGCAAATCATCCTCAGTTGACTAGGTGGCATTCTTCATAATTTGAAACCCTTCATGCTTAATGCAAACTCCAATGCAAGCAGAAGACATAAATAATAATGTCTAGTATTTATTTATTTGCTATTTTATTATTTTTCTTTTATGCGTATGAGTGCATTGCCTGCATGTATGTTGTGCAAATGTCCTCGGAGGTCAGAAGAGGGTGTCGAATTCCCTTGGAACTGGAATTACAGATGGTTGTTAGCTGGCATGTGGGTGCTGGGAATTGAACCTGGGTCCTCTGCAAGAGCAGCCAGTGCTCTTAATCACTGAGCCATCTCTCTAGCCCCATGTCTAGTATTTATTAAGTGCTCACTGTATGCCTTACATTTTCTATCTAGTATCACTTTCAGTCTTCAAAACAGACCTACAAAGGGATTTTTTGATAAGGACACTGAAGCCCAGAGGGTTTAAGTAGTTTTGGATTTGATCTTGAAGTCAGGACTCTTCCCCACCAGGTTTTTCTACCCTCATGGACTTTGTTGCCCCCTTGCAACAGGGTGAAGCCTCATGCATGGTACATGTGGATGTAAACAATGCTGACATTTGCATGCTTTCTTTTTAAACCAGGTCAATAGCAAGAAATGATAGAGGTGGGATTTAAGTCATTCCTTGTCTCCCTGCTCTCAACCTGTACACCATCCTGACGCTTGTGAATGAATCTGATTAGTCAAGAGATTATTTAAGAAGGCAACAAGCTAACATTTCCTGAAATTCTCTTTCACCTGCTACTTTGTGCATCTCTGCTACTCCTCAGGTTGCCATGGAGTTGTGGCTCCCTCTTCCCATGATATCTTCAAGTTGGCTGAAGCCAATGCCTTCTGGGAGCCTGAGGTCCTTCTCTGCATGGAAGAGGACACATTTATTAGAAACGTGGAGCTGCTGGGGGCTGTGAAGGGTTTCAGCTGGCCTCAGCTGATGGCCCTGAAGGAGAAGGCGATTCAGGTAGGTCCACCTTGGGGGTAAAGCAGCAATAAGAACAAACAAACATCAATATCCGACCCCAGCATTTCTGTGCTTAGAATCCCCTTGAGGATCTGCACCTATCATTTTGTTGAAATTTTGCTGTTTCTGCCCAGTAGCTGCCCATGATTTCCTCATCTGAGAAATAGGCAAACTGCTAGATTCTCCCTCCTAGGGCAGGGACAGAGCCCAGAATGATGTATCCCTCAGCAAACCAAGCTCTGTGCTTATTCTGACCTAAACTGCCGCTTGCCTTACAGCTGCCTGCAGCAGTCTTCCCGCCATCTGCTGCAGATTCATCTGAAACCAGGAAAGAGGAAGTAGTTTGCCATTTTAGGAAGGTTTCCTTGCAGGGGCTAGGGAGATGGCTCAGTGGGGAAAGTGCTTTCCACACAAGTGTGAGGAATGGAGCCCATTTAAAAGCCAAGTGGGTGGGCTGGCCTGCTTGTTTGTACTCCCAGCTCTCGGGAGGTGGAGACCCAGAATCCCTGGAGCAAGCTGACTAGCTAGACTAGCCCAATAAGTAAGCCATGGGTTCAAGTAAGAGACTCTGTCTCCATATATAAGGGGGAGAGTGATTGAGAAAGACACCTGATGTCAGCCTCTGGACTCCACATACATGTGCACACCACATTCACATGCACCTCCCCACATGCACTCTCCCTCACATATGAACAAACATGTGCACCACACATATATACTAAAAAAAAGTTCCTTTGAGTGGCATACTATAGTTGTTGGGGGTTAGTTATGGAATATCCAGCTACCTTCACTGGGATAAAGAATTCAATTGTTTAAAATTATATTTATAACTCTTTTTAATACAAATCACCAAATTTATCATGAAAAGTCAGAAAATATGATAAAGAAGTTGCCCAGTTGGTAAAGTGCTTCCCATGTAAGCATGAAGACCAGAATTCTATCCCCAGAATCCATGTGAAAAAGCCAGGCATGTGAGTGCATGCTTTGTAGTCCCAGAGCTGGGGAGATGAAGACAAAGGGATGCCTGGGGCACACTGACCAGCCAGACTAGCCTACTTGGTGAATTCCAGGAAAGATCCTGCATCAAAAAGAAAGATGGATGGTATGTGAGAAAAGATGTCTGAGGTTGGCCTTTGGCTTCCACATACACATGTACACACATGCACCTGCTCACTCATGCATTCTGACACACACACACACACACACACACACACACAAGAAAAGTCAGAAGACAATAAAGAAGAAAGCCAAGTGTGAATCTTTTACCAAGCATTGTTGATATTTTGGCATATTCACCTAAAGAAGATACAGATGTCAGACAAGCTATCATCTTCAGTGTCCATGAAAGACTAGATCCAGAACCCCTACATGGCCCAAAATCTATGGATTCTCATCTCTTATATAAAGTGGTATGGTATTTGTGTAGACCCTACACCACACAATACAATGAAAATATTATCTAGGTAGTTGTTAGGGAATAATGGCAAGAAAATCAGTACAGTTGCAATAATTCTGATGGTGCTGGTGCTGGAACCCAGGGCCTTGCATATGCTAGACAAGTGCTCTACCACTGAGCCTCTATTTCCAGACCCTGATAAAGAATATTTTTGATGTATGGATTGTTGCACCTGCAGATTGCAGAACATGTAGATACAGAAAATTATCTTGGCTCACATATATCTTACAAAAATGGTATCACAATCATATTTCAGTAATTTTTCTTCCAAACTTGACAGTACATAGTACATGTTTTCCCATATCAGAGTGATAAATCTATATTGGTATTTAAAAAGATTTATTTTTTTTATTTTATGCATATGAGTGTTTTACCTGCATATTATGTGCATGTTATGTGTGCCTTGTACACGAAGTGCTTGTGGAGGCCAGAAGAGGGCATCAGACCTGGAGTTACAGACCACTGTGAGCCACCATGTAGGTGCTGAGACCCAAACCTGGGTCCTCTGCAAGAGCAGCAAGTATTCTTGTCCACCAAGCCATCTCTATATCAGTATTTTTGCCTGCCTTTTATTTAACTAATTATTAAATTTTGGATTGTTCACATTTTTAAAATAAAAACCTTATGTCAGTCAGTTTTCCTTTGTTTTGACAAAATATCTGAGTAAAAACTACTTAAAAGGAGGAAAGGTTTACTTTGGCTTGTGGTTTCAGACTATGGTTAGCTGGCTCTTTGGGTACAAGGTGAGGCAGACTGTCATGGTGGAGAGGGTATGATGGAACAGAACTGCTCACTCATAGCAGCTGGGAGGGGAGTGGATAGATGGATAGATGGATGGATGGATAGATGGATAGACGAGTGGGTAAATGGATGGATGGATAGATAGAGCCTCTTCAGTATCCATCACAGGCCTATGCCCCTGTGACTTTGTTATTTCAGCTAGTCCCTACCTTCTACTAGCCCATCTGGTTATGACCTCATCAATGGATTCATCTATAAATGGGGCTAATGTCTTCATGGTTCAGTCACCTCTCAATGGCACCACCATCTGGAAACCAAGCCTTCAACACATGAACTTTTTTTGGAGGGGGCATATTTCTTGCTCAAACCATAATATGCCTTTGTACCTTTTTTGGATATAGATCTTAGAGCACTTTTTGCCTAATTTTCTTCGACTAAGTTCCCAGAGAGGTGGAACTCCGGGATGAATGAGTATCAACATCTACAAAGCTTTTGGAACAGATTGGTACAAAAAGCTTTTGGTAGCCAGATTTTCCTCCCCAGAATCACGTGTCCTTTGCTTCGTGTCTTCCCAGTATCTCAGTGATCATTGTTTTTACTCCATGCTGCAATTGTGAGTTGATGTTGTCATTGTGTTAAATGAACTTTTCTTGAGTTATGACTGGGTATGAATGATTCCTTTACATGTGCTTACTTGTTTTTAGTGAATTTCTTGTTTATGTCTATCATTTATCAACAGTAATCTTTTTCTTATTGATGTACATAGGCTATCATCTATCATCTATCTATCATCTATCTCTCTCTCTATCTCTCTCTATA